CAGTTTTCTGGACTTATTTTGTACTGCCTAATTTTTCTTTCTGAAAAGTTTATATATAAAGAACAACTGTTCTCCAGATATTAAGGCTAAATTCTTATTGCAAAATTTTAATAATTCTATGGATGTCAGCCAAGCTTCCCACATGAGTGGATGAAATGTGTTTCTGTGTCAATATTTATTGCTTTAGGACAGTGATTTTTTTTTTTGTGGCTTGTTAGCTTTAAGCCTGGGTATAGCATAATTTTATTGAACATGAGTGGATGACATGAGTGGATGAAATGTGTTTCTGTGTCAATATTTATTGCTTTAGGACAGTGATTTTTTTTATTTTTTTTTGTTAGCTTTAAGCCTGGGTATAGCATAATTGTATTGATGATATTTTTACTATAAAGTTGATGATTTCTTCTATCTTTTCAGAATATATGAAGTGTGTGTAGTACAAGACTGAATGCAGTGGGCCTTTAAACTATATATGTCAGGGCAGAAGCTTTGCAAGCCTTTTGAAGTCTTAGAGAAATAAGAGGCATTTACCCTGTCAAATGGTGACACTTGATTGTCATCTTCACCAGGTCCCACCAGTGTGATCTCTTGAGCCTCCAGTCCTGGTGATACATGGAAGCCACTGATGGATTCACTGTTTATTGAGAGTGACTTTGCATGCACTGTAAAGTTAATGAGGGTAGCAACAATGTTTTAAATCCTGCACTGTAGGGATATCCAACCCAATATAAATTCCCGTTATAAGCAGTTTAGTTTTAAGACATCAGAATAGAATTTGCACTTGTTCATCTTCTGAACAAGTGTAAACAACAGAATACTGACCAGAATAAAAGTACATTAGCTAAAATAGATTAAGTACTTAAATTGTTATATTAATATGTTATTTTAAAAAGCACTGTTTATAGCAAAATATCTGTGCAATGTTATAATTTAATCTTTGTTTGTATCTATGTATCTAATGAAAGTGGAACTGAAGTGGTATTTTGTAACTACTATAAATGTTGAATTCCCTGCTAAGGAGACTGGTTAAAAAGTCATTATAGCATGTAGTGGTAGTATCTACTGAGCAGTGTTTTTGTTACTGTTCTACACAGCTAGTTTTGAGAGCTTGGTGTAATCCTGATTAAGCAAAGAAGCTCCAAATCAGATTATACATCTGGTGGCAATTAGATGGGACAGTCACCACCTCAGAACATAGTATTTCCACTGGAAAAAGAAAAAAAAATTCCACATTCCATGGTATAACTAAAATACAATTAAACATAATCCTCTTATCTCTTCCTGAACTATATTCACACACATTAATAGTCATGGCCTTTTGTCCAACATGCAGAAATAAAGAATGCCTCATGGATGACAAAACTCCTCTAGACTGTCATGTTTTACTAACTATTGAAACTCTGGAACTATTTTCACTGTTTTGTCCGAATAGAGAAAAATATGGGAGAATCTTTAGCACAAAGAGAACAAACTTGAGGAAGTGAATGAAAAAAAGCAAGAATTAGGGATAGCTAATAATTAGAGATAGTTAATTAATAGTCTCATAAGGTGAGTGGTAGAAGCTCCTTTTTTAATACAATAAATGTTTTTATCACTGAAGAATTTAGTTTGGATGATAAACCTACTCTGACAAGAAGATAGATTAGATAAGTCACATTCCCCATCCACATTTTTATTTTATGTGGTTATGTGTCTCTGTTGAGCAATCTAAGTAAATAGAAAATTATACAAACAAAATATTTAGTAGGTAAATTGTATTTTAACATATGAGAGGACTTGCAGGATGAGATGTTAGACATTCTGCTCTGAACAGTGGCTGCCCGTGGTGAACCTGGTCTGGTGATTCACATTAGCTGAGATTAAGCAAGTGGATTATGATGTTTTTCCTGGCTGAGCATACTTGGAATAAGACTAAGGAGGTTGTTTCATGTGGCATAGACATGGTACAATTTATAAATCTCTGAAAACAGGCTATACTCTCTTTTATTTACGTAGGACTGTGGGTGAGTATGATAAAATTATATGCAATGCTTACCAGCTTTATGACATTGAAGGTATTCTTATGTATTTAGAACAAAGTGTTCCACTTAGTGTCTTTATAGAATTTAGCTTTGTGCATAAATGTTGCATGACTGATTTTGTTTATAGAACAGAGGGAAAAGATTAAATTCTGATTTCTGTTTGACTTTATTGGAGAATAAATTTCTCAACATTTTAGTTGCCGAAGTATTTTAATAGGCATCCTCTTCCATATAATATCAACTCTTTATTAATTTTAGAATGATATCAAGTATGGAAATTGATAGTATATTTATGATGAAATGAAGGTATTTTGTGGCGGTGTGTAGTATGAAAAAATAACTTCCACAGTAAGTCGATTGTTCATTGTTGAAATTTTTTTTTTGTAAAAGCTAACTATAAGATATCTAAAAGATGCAGAAGAATTTTTTTCTATTTAGATTAATGCTAAAAATGTGGTATGCCAAATAAAGGTCTATAATCCATTTTTCTAAGGAAAACTTATTTTTCTTAGTTTTGTACATTCAAATTATTTCATGTTTACACTGAAAAATGTCTTTTTTCTTTATTGATATGTATATTCCCTCTTTGTCTTGGATTTCAGTACTTCCACAGTGTCAAGACAAAGTATAATAATTAGCTTTATGTAAAATCTGTTGCATTTTTCTTTCAAATGTTGATGCTTATGTAACTGACTGTTTTGCACAAGCACAAATATCTAGAACAGCTTCTGAGACTCTAATTCTAAAGTGATTAATGTCAGCGGGCTCATGAGAAAATCCACCTATTTTATCTCTTGTAAGAGTGAATAATCAAATCACACAGTTGGATGAAATTCCACTCCATTTTCACAAAGTGTTAGAAGTACAGTAGAGAGTCGCTGAGGAGCTGTGTCTGTTCTTTCCTCTGGTCATTGCTGACAACAGCGCTTTTCCCTGAGAGATCCTGGAATGGGCTCTCAAACTCCACTCTTGGTCAGCTGAAATGGAGTAACATGACATTCAGTTCACTCAAGAACTTCTGTCATTGCTGCTGTCACTTGAGTAGAACATTTGCTCTGCAAAGAGAGTGGGAAAGTTTGTGTTGCATCTAGCAACAAAAATGCCCTTATGGATTTCCACCAGGAACATCCAGCTAAGCAGAATGAGGCACACAGCGTAAAATGTCTGGTTCAAAATGTGTCCCTAGTCTAAGCTCACCAATCAATCTCTCAGTATAGAAGTATAGAGAAAATTTACTCAGTTAATGAGTAGATCTGTGAAAAAAATGGACAAATGTAGCTCTCAGTGGTTTCAGTTAAGTGGAGCTCCTCCCTCTTACCAAAAGTAAGTAATTTCAGTAGCCGGGTTGTATAAGTTGCTGCAGCAAACATTGAAAATTTCTTCTTGCTTATTTCTCAATTAAATACTTTTTTTCCTTTTTCATTTTTTAGGCTTTTAAAATTTATTTATTTATTTTAAATGGAATTCTGATTATGTAAATCAGCCTTAGAATACATCATTCTAGTGCAGTCCTGTTGGCTATTTTTTAGTTTTAGCACTTAGAAGAATATTTATTTTACAACATAAATGATGTCTTATAAGGAGACATTTCATCCTGTATTCTGATCAGTGTTCAAAATAACTAACTCCTAGAGAAGTCAAAACATCTGAGCTGAAACTATGCATTATTGCACTTCAGCTGAAGCATTATTGGAAAAGCTGTAAGAACACAGTAAGATAAACCCTTGTCAAATCTGGCTTTATTTGAACCTTAACTTTCTTGAAACATAACATCTTATGAATTTCAGAACAGATATGTGCAGTATGAAAATAATAAGAATACTCTTTTCCATAGCTTCAATAAAAAATACATGGTAGCCAGAGATTGTTCTATTACTCAATATGGCAGCTATATTAAGATTACATCATCAAAGAATTTAATTTATTTTATTTTGATGACAAGTGTTCCCTGAGGCTGCTATGTAGCTTTTCAGTAAAAGTCCACTAAAACTGTTACCTTGAGGCTAATTGGAAGTTTTTACCTCTCTGTTCCAGTGAAAGCAAACCAATCATTAAGACAGTTATTTTAGTCACTTAAAGGGCTGTCATTACAGTATCTGTATTTAGATTGGATTAAAATGGAAAGATTGGTGCTCTATTTACAAGCATGAGGACTATCAAGATGGTTGGCAGACATAATTTGTTGTTTATAAGACCAATATTTAAATATTTTCATTTCAAGACTTCTTCTCCTGAAGAATTCTTGAGTTTTTGTATCTTTTTGAGGGACCTAAAGGCTTTTCTTTTACTAAAAACACCTTATTTTGTCAGTAGTTTTTTCATCTCAGTGTACCCTAAGTGTCACTGTCGTAGTAGATATGTATTGTGAGAAAAAAACTTGTAATAGAAAAGCAAATAATATGTCAATTTAGTATAAAACTTCACTCTAACATATGCTTTTGGCCTTATTATGGTATAGATTACAGTGCTGTAAATCAGGAGTCTTTTCTCTGAATTCCATGGTTTTGCCTCGATATGAAACTAGTAAGATCAGACGGAATTGCATTTTCTTTCAGTTTAGCTAGCTATTTTGGACTAAAAAAGGCATGTACCAAAGCACAAATTTCTCCCTCCGAGTAAGGACTTTTCTTAAATATCTTAAATGTGAAATGTCATTAGCTTCATGTTCAAGAAAGGATGGACTGACAAACCACCTCCTTCTAAGAAAAGGTCTCTTATACCAAAATGATAAGAGATATGAAATTACGTTGGAGAGCTTTGGGAATACTTGCAAGTAGAGCTATGCTAACTTAATCTGACAGTATTGGAGTCTTTGTGGAATTTAGTGATAACAGCTTGAATCCATTTAAATCCAATGATTTTTGGCACAACACACTGCTGTTGGTTTCTCATAAATCCTCTTCCTGCACCTTTCAAAATGCAGACCATATTTTTACCAGTCACAGAGAAAGTTTTACATCCATCTCCTCTTTCTTCCAGATTGCTGTCAAAATGAGCGAAACACCTTCGAGCAGTTACTCGGCGAATCACCCAAACTCCTCTGAGAGTGAGCAGAGTTTATCCACGCGCCATTTCAATGTTACTGAACCTGTTGTGGCAAAACGGATTTGTTTCTATAAAAGTGGAGATCCCCAGTTTAATGGGATCAAAATGGTTGTTAATAGCAGGTCTTACAAGACCTTTGATGCCTTGCTGGATAGTTTATCCAAACGGGTCCCGCTACCTTTTGGAGTAAGGAATATTAGTACACCAAGAGGAAGACACAGTATCACCAATTTGGAGGATCTGGAAGATGGAAAATCCTATATTTGCTCCCATCAGAGGAAAATGAAGCCCATCAACCTGGAACAGGCCAGCAAAAAGCCACTGCCCTGGCAGATCAGCAGGCCTGTCAGCGCTCGTCGTCGAGCTGTGCAATTAGCAAGGCAGAATGAAGATGGGTCTGGCCATCGAGAAACCAGAATAACAACTCCCAAAAAGATGCTTGTCTTCAAAAATGGGGATGTAAGGCTTAGGCGCACCATAGTTTTGGGAAAGAAAAATACACAAACATTTGAGGCCTTTCTGGATTATATGAGCGAGTTAATGCAATATCCAGTTGCAAAGCTCTACACCACTGATGGCAGAAAGGTGAGAAAAAGGATGAGTACTGATATTTTTTTTCTTGGTGATTTCTTCTAGATTATTTTAAATAAAAAGTAGTTGTATCCATGATTGAAACATGGTCCTGATGTATGATCTGATGTGCTAAATTTAATCTGTTTACTTTCTTTTCTTTTTCCCCCTTTGGAAGGGCTACTGGCTTGGAGGAAATATACTGGAATCTTGTGAACAGAGAAAAGTTAGTGAGGACACATTTCATTTTAAGCAAAAAAGAAAAAAACACTTTTTTTCTCTTACTCAGACCTCTTTAAGGCATGCTGCCAATTCTGTACTTTTATCCATTTACACAAAACCTTCCTTTAGTGTTAACACTATTTATCTGGGATTTTTAATATTTTAGAACGTGATAAGTAGCATTTAATGTCCACAGGTACTTTTATCATTGCACAAATGCAGAGTGGTTTGCCATTAATGACTCGGAACTCTGACACCTGATTGCCTGTCATAGTTTCAAACCATGAACATGGTTCTGTACCTCTAAACTCAGGTCTCACATGATGTTTGTATAATTTCATCTCAGTGTTTTTTCTGTCTGTTGTTTAACCACAGAAAAACACTTATGGTTTCACTTAGCAGGTATCTAGAAAGAGAAATCTGTGCAGAATTTGAAGAGTTCAAAAGAAATCTCTTGCTTATCCTTCACTTGTTCAAATTGTGTATTAGGCTGGGAAACTGTGCATATTATCTAAAAGTTAGTGAAGTACAGTTTGTAAGCATTAATTTGCAATATATTTTGGAACATACATTCAAAACTGTCAGACAAGGCTCTGAGCATCTTGATCCAGTCAGATCTGCTTTGAGTAGAGGGTTAGACTACATGACCTCCAGAGGTCTTTTCCAAAGTATAATGCTCTGTGGCGGTGTCCTATTCCTTTGTGGAAGTGTGAGTCAGCTGTTTGTGCTGTATTCTGAATTTTTCCTCCACATCTTCATATGTATACTTACCTCCAAATGCATAATCATATTTCATGACTCTGAACAGTCATTGTGCAACAATGAAACAAAATTACATGTGTAAACACTTAAATTTTAAGAAAATTTTGATGTGGATCCAAGTTGCTTCTTGAAGTAATTATCCATTATATTTATATAACAAGATATATTCTCACAGAAATAGGAATTGCCTTATAGGAATTGAAAAATTAATTCCATGCTGTGATACATATTTAATAGTCTGCTGCAAATGAATGTAGAGAATAAGGAGTGAAGATATTAAAGCTTGAAAGGGATGAATCTCTTACATTATTTTTTGGTGGTTACTAAGGCAGAGAATTTAATGTTACTTTTTTTTCCAGGTTCCTAATCTTCAAGCCCTGATATTGTGCTCTGGAGCTGTAGTCGCAGCGGGGAGAGAGCCTTTTAAACCAAGCAATTATGAATCTCTTGGGTATTTGCGACCTGCTAAATTGCTTGGAATTGGAAATCGTGTGTACCCAAAAGCAAATGCCAAGTCAGAAAGTGAAAAGAGTAAGTTCTTTGAATTCATTTGTATTTTAATAATTTGTTTATCTCTTTCAGCATAAGACATAAACAGTGACAATCTTCCTAGGATCAAGGATATTCAGAAAGGCCAGCTGAAACTGTTTATATCTGCTGTGACTCCTCTATAAGCTTATGAAAGATCAAAGTGTTAATTTTCTTTTTAAAATGCAAGTTTCTGCTAAGTACTCAGCTACTATGAATATTTTGTTTCTGACAGACTTACTTAGAACATGGATGAAAATTTATGAGCATATTTCACTTTAATTCATTTGATTGCCATTGTTATTAATTTTTTGGTGTCATAATTAATAACAACAGTGGTAAAAGTAAAACCCCAGGCTACTTCAGGCTCTCATTGAGTTGCTTGGGCAAAATTTTGCTCAGTTTTCAGAACTTAAAAGTGGAGGTTTGGCTTGTCATGACTTACTCTTCTCTTGTCACATGCTCCACATAAATAGGAAAACTGGTATAGCATCCATCCACTCACAAATTCATTATGTTTTTGAAGCTGTTTTTGCCTAGAGTGTTGTCCATTCCTATATCCTCATGACTGTCATATATATTATTTTAATAATTTTGGGAAATGTACACGAATATGTACTTTCTGTTTGATTGCACACGGAGTTGCTCCCCTGATAGGATCAGGAATAGTGTGAAGTGGCTGGTGGATGATCAAGAACATGAAGAGCTTTTGAGAGAAGCCAGGCTAGATGAATAACCTGAGGGAAATGAACTGCTGTAGTAGCAGAGCTTTAGGTCCTGTGAGAATTCCTGACATTAGAGCATCCTGTAGGGCTGAGGTACTGTGTGCAGGAACTTCCTTAATCCAGAGTATTGTTTACTCTTGCTACATCTTCATGCTGTACTGAAGAACCCAGGGAACACTATAGTTGTTACTGTACCAGGACTTTCCATAGTAACCCTGACAGTGTCATGGAGCAGGTTAATAGATGACATTTGATTTCCATTTGCTTGAGGGAGTTCCATTCACATTCCTTCCACTTTATTCTCTCCTGACCAGGCTAGTAATTTTAGGTTTTTCTCAGCCTTCATGTATTTTGACTTGCACAGCTTGAGACCTGTTTGCAGAGTATAACTAATGAGTCAAGAGAGAATGAATAAGAACATTTTGAGAATGAAAGTTCTGCAGAAACGAAAGTCCTGCCTAGATTCTGCTTTGAGACAAAGACTGAGCCTTACAATTATAGAAAACTTGAGTTGTTGAATATGATTATCTCCTACTTCTAATTCTTAGTCAACAGCAATCACAGAAGGAGGGAGGAAAAACAATCCTGTTTATGTCTTTAGTCTGAGAATTTAACAAATATTGGGGGTAGGAGATATCACTTATGGTATGAAAGCAGGGAAACTGGAATTTCAGCATTTTTGTTCCAATTCTATTTCCTGAGACAGAGAAGGCGAGATTGTTATTTTGTGAAGCATAAGTTCTGGTCTGTGTTAGAAGAATTAGTACAAACCTTTGTCTCTTATTCAGTTCATGGTAAAGCATATACTAGAGAAGCTTGCAAGGCCATTTTCCTGAAGTTATAAGCATGTTTCTATAACAGTAATATATTACTGTAAAAGTATTGATGTGAAACCACTTAAAAAAACAAACAAACTTAAAGTCAAGAAATTTAGAGAAGTTATTATTATATCTGTTAAAATGCTTTTTGCAAGTGAAACCTATCTATGAAATGGTAGATCATATATATATATTTAGATATCATCCACATGTGTTTCCCTTGCACATGTGGAAGACCTTGGAAGACAGCAAAACTTTATTCTTATCTCATGCTCTTTTAGCTCTCAACTCTTCAGTGATAACTATGAGGGAAAGATGAGGTAAAGTTTTTAAAGGACCCAAGTTATTGCAGAGTAATCAAAACATATTGTGGGAAAATATATTGTGTATGCTAACACATTTTGGGCCACATTCAAAAATCTCTGAAGTCTAGAAGTATTCTCAGAGGTTTTGCTGAGTTTTGCACCATTTTCTACAGTACAGATGCATAAATATGTTCTAGAATGTAATGATTTAAGTTCAGATTTTACAAGGAGTTCAAGAACTTCGATGTTTACTTCTTTATAGAAGGTCAGAGGATTGCATATGGACCCTTTTGTAATGTGTCAGTGGCATTGCAAAAGAGTAGTTACTCATGTACTGTAGATTGTTAAATTAAGCCCAAGGACATATATATTGACCTTGACTGACATATTTTAGTACTAACTGCAAGAACTAATAGGAAGTGATATAATGATCACTAAAGCATGAAGAGGTAACTTGAAACCCAAACAAGTGAGCACCTATGAATCCTTTGAAAAGTTCAAGGCAACCTCAGCTCTCAACTAAGTATGAAATAAGATCATCTAGTACTCCTTTTAGACTTTGGAGCTTCAAATAAGATTGTAGTTATGGCATTAGAAAGAACTTACTGTAAAATAAAATTAAGTGGATAAGTATTTAAATCTTAGTTCTTTATTAAGACATATTTCATTGAAAATTTCACAGATGAGTAGCAAGAATTTTTGGGTGTTTTTTTTTTGTACTTTTTAATGCAAAATAAATAAAAACCCCAAAGTATGTAAAATAACACACTTTATTAGCATCTTTAATACTAATTTTTCTCCTTTCTTTTCCTTTTTTGCCTGTCCGCTGTCTCATCTGGATCCTTATGCATGGTATTTGTCTGCTCTGCTTTCTGTCTACTGAATGAATCTGTGCTCTTTCAATGTAATTATGGGTAGTGAGAGCTGAAATGGACTCTAGTTCAAGATCTCAGATATTCTCAGTTTCTTCTGATAAAGGATCCAGCAATGAAAACAACTCAAATGATAACAACTCAGAGTCTTCCTATGTTCTTGACAGCCATAAGAGGATAGGAGGAAATCGGTCAGTTATTGCTGAAGATTTATCTGTGGCACAGTATCAAGATGACATTGAGAAGTCTGTTCACGTTAATCAAGATGGGAGTATCACAGTGGAAATGAAAGTTCGATTCAAAATTAAAGAGGAAGAAACCATTAAGTGGACAACCACTGTAAGTCGTGCTGGCCTTTCTGATGACAAAAATATCACCATCTGCAATTCTTCTACAATGAATGTGGAAGACTGCTCATCCAATGTAAATACATCAGACTGTATAAATCCAAAAGATGCTCCACTTTTGAAGAGCTGCAGTAAAGGAGAGGAAGACTCGTTACAGCAATCCAATGAGGAAGTGTCAGAAAAAGAATCAGAATCTGATTTGAAAACTGCTGATTGTAATGTCTCTGAGAAGAACAATTCTGCAGATTTAGATGTAAGCAATGAACCTGAGGAAAATATCAAGCCTCGCTTTTATAGGCCTCCTACCCCTGGGCCAAGGCGTGTTAGACAAAAGAAAGCAGTAGTTGAAAGTGTCACTTTGGTATCTGAGAAAGAGGTTCAAGAGAAGACAATAGGACAGTTTTCCTACAGTGAGGAAGTAGAGAATGGAGAAAAAACATCTGAATATTGCATGGTAGCTCATTCAAGCAGAAAAAAATCAAGTGTCAGTAATCCAAAGTTGAGTGAGATGAGTGACAATGGTTTATTAAAGCTGTCTTCAGAAAATATAAAGGAAGAAATGCTTTTTAAAGTAAGCCACAAAAGTAGTGAGTTAATAGAAACCATAAACAGGAAGACATTAGAAGTGCCTAATGAGGACGAATTGGTACAGAATATATTGGAGAAATCAGTTGTGGAACAAGGTACATATAGTAGTTTAGTATCAACCTCTAAAGGTAACATCAGTGGTTTCATGCCATCATCAAAAACTTACCAGACAGCTAGGCCAGGTACAGCAGATCACATCCATAAGTCATGTGATATTAAACAAATAAAAAGATCAGTGAGTTCTTTCATTACATATTCAGAATTATGTCAGTCAAAAGAAGAAATAAAATATCAAGCTGCTGATTTAAGAGGTATTTCTCAAGATTCAGTGCATTCAGCCTGTGCTGGACATAGCCAGATAAAAATGATGGCACCTCCATGCAGTGAGAGTCCTACTGAGGAAGTAAATCAAACAACTGGATTCTTTCCTACTGTTCCTGAAAGTGAGAATCAAACCTGTGCCATGACTGAATCTGTGAGGACAACACCCATTGAGAACAACCAGTCTGCATCATCCCTCACCAAAAAGAAGAAGAAGAAAAGAAAATCATCTAACTTTCTAGAGCAAGGTACATATGAAAGTCAAAAGAATCAAGAAATTTCAGGGATAATTAGAAGTGAGGGACTGCATATCACGCAGGATTCCACAACAGAGGCTGGGGATAAATGCTCTGAAATGCCTCATAAAAAAGGACCTGAATATTTTGTAAAAAACAATGATGGATCTGCCAATTCAGAAAAAAACATATATCCTGAAGATGAGTTTGATCACCAGGATTCAGTGGAACAAAATAGATCATCATCATCTAATAAAAAGAAAAGAAGTAGTAACAAGAAGTTAGCCAAGATAAAATTGAAGTTAGGCAAAAAAAGCAGTATAATTTCATCTGCAAAGAGTGAAGATGGTCTAATGACAGCTGATTCAAACCATGAATCTGAGCACAATCAGGATATGCTTAATACTGAGAAAGAAGGCACACATCTTATGACCAGTTCTTTCAAACAGACACCTAACTCATCAGTGACTTCAAAGCCATTGTCAGAAGTGCCAAAAAATCCTAGCTTTGAAAAAGAAAAGGAAAAGAATAATTTGGAACATTTGCTATCGAAGAAAGAGAAAAAGCAAAAGATGATGAAGAAAAATCTAGGTAAAGTTGTAAATAAGATAAATATGTCAGAGAGTGCCATTACACTAGAGGCTCTAAACCAGGAGGGTTTTCAAGAGAAGATTGTTGAGCATTCACGTGAAAACTATGTCCAAACTTGGCTAAAAAATTCATTCTCAAGTTCTGTCTTACCCCCTATAAAGAAAAAAGAAGGGACTGTAGAGAATAGCAATGTCTGTTCT